CTTTATAAGCTGTGCAAATTATAATAAGGCTTTTCTGGCTAATTCAAATTTAGGAACTACTTCGTAAAGCGGTGACGATTACCGGAAGCGTTGTAAGGTCGGCAAGAGATATTATAACGCCATTAATATTTTATATTCGCTGCAACATTTAGTATTCTCAATTAAATAGTCCATTTACCTAGGTAATTTTGTATATTTATAGGTACATTTAATATTATCATGATAAATCATCAATAGCTAATGTTTCCTCCAACAAATATGCATGATTTTATCTTACCATGGGGTGTAAACATGATTTTAAACTTACAATGACCGCGGAAATCATCATGTATCTCAAATTTCATCTCTGTTAAGGACAAAATTAATTTTTTTTTTTAAATATTCTTTTCCGAACTCATTCCATACGACTGTTTTTGAACATTTCGTTTTTTATATTCAGTTATTTTCCTGTTTAAATTTGTTGTTATTGCTTCGCGACATGTGATATAGTTAGTTTGATTAAATCAGAACAAAAGTAACAAACATTTTATTCATTTCAGTCAACTCGATGTGTAACGTAAATAAAACTGATTATTTTGTAAACAGAAGTTGATTTTTAGGTGATCTCATTGTGAACTTAGCAATTTGACAAAGATTACGATACAAGAGTTGCCAGGAGGGCAAATCCGCTCGACATAAACCAGTACATGATATTGATTTATAAATATTTGAAATATCAATATGATATATAAAATTAATCTTTTTATTTCATTGAACATGTATGTTTGCTAAATAATAAAAATGGGCGTATCTTTCAAATTTCAGCATCGCTTATTTTCAATAACATAACAAATTCTATTTTATATCATTCTTTTGATACGAGTATGTTTACTTGAATAATCAAAAAATGTTGAATGAAAAATGCGGCAGAGTCTTGAAAGGCCATATTGTTAAAGAAAATAAACAAAGTGTATAGTTTAATGGATACTCCTTTTGGTAAATTATTCAAAATATTTACGCAGAGCAAAGAAGTACTGAGGAGCAAAAAATATAAATACTGCTTTATAAGCTATGATATACTGCGTACTTTATGTACTTAACTTGAAATGAAAAACCTACTTTTCCTTAAAGTGTCAAATTTAGAACCTATTTATGTAAATGATATAGTTTTTCTCACATATATAGCATGTTTTGTACTTGTCATAGCTAATCTGTTTGTCCATTATTAAGGCGATACCATCCTTACCTGAGAAGATGGTATTTTGTCTAAGGCAGGTGTCATTATGCCCATCTAAGTGCACAAGTAAAACTCAAAACAACAATTTTACATTTTGCAATTATTGTGTTTGATTTAATATTTTATTATCCAAAAATAATTAATAATTCACGTGACCAACGAACATTTCTAGAAATATCTAGAATGTATCGGTTGCGTTCATTTTTTTTATATATCTTTTTAAAGAGCGGGAGATCATACTACCAATTATGGTCAATCACCATATTTTGAAATATATTACTAATTCAGTTGAACATTACAGCGATAAAATGAGCATAATGTACCTTTATTTTAGTAGGCTGTTCATATGTAATCAAAGTACTTACTACCGGATAGGGACTTTCGAACAAATTTAACCGTCTAGTAAGTGGGCAAATAGGTCAGAGTTTAGGATCTGTGCATATTCAAAAGACATACAACAAACAAAGTATTTCACATGAAACTAAAAAAAATATGTTTTGCAAGAACGTGTTTGTTGTGTAGATTTCGTTCCAAGTTTTCTATGCGTTAATATGTTTATCCATATAACCTTAAATGCCTGTCCATCTTTAATACCTCTTGTGCCCACTGACTTTGTCAAATGACCTTGCTGTACTTAATGTATATAAGCGCCTAAAATGATGAAATACCGAATCTGCAAAGCCTTTGCACCCCTCCCCATCCGGAATGAGTCGGTGCAGTATGACCATACCAGACACTCAATCGCGTCTTCTCGACCCTTTCCGTCAAACTTCGGATAGCCGAGATGTTTCTATTGCACATTTTCCGCGAATTATCCAATGAAGCGGGTACCATGTGGAAAGTTTTAGCATAAAGGATTTCAAAAGTTCAAAATGCACAAGATTTGGGCAGACGACGTATGCATAGAAACAGACATTGAATCACAATTCTACTTAAACTAAAATACTCGAAGCATTATTTCTTCAACACTAAAATAGTTAAACAAATTATGATTTTAATGTATTGCCTCGATAGAAACCTCCAGCATTTCGAATAATGCCAATAAATAATTAAGCCTTCTAAGGAGAAAACGTGAAAAGCTTTCCCATGCAGACGACCGTTTGAGTCACTGAATCAATTCAGATTATTTTTTGTTTACACTGTAATAAATAAATTGATTTCATTTGTACTCCAGTAAAAAAATCCCCCGGAGAATTGACTAATATTTAATGATGTGACTGAAATATTGTTAAATTTCTATTTAAAGATACAAAAATTTAATTGTGAAAAAAGACAATCAGATGCTCTGTAAATATGTTTTGTATTATATTTTGCATGGGCTGGAGGCCAAAAAAGCAAATAAATTTTGTCAATGTCATTGATAAAATGGCTGCCGGGTGTTATGGTGTGCATCGGGCGTTTGTATGTATTACATATCACGCTTAAAGGTGCATGCCTCCAAAATATTTATTGAAAAAAAAAAATGTACTAAAATTTTAAGAAAAGTAAAAACATTCAAGATCCAAATTATATTTTACATGTCATGTGCGGTTTTAAACTCAATGTGCAGTATTTTTATTACCATATTTCTACTGCGTTACTAACGCAGTAAGGGCTGTTTTTGCATATGTTGACCACTTTTTGGTAATTGTAAGTGCCGATTTCAATATGTAAATATCTATATTTGTTCACCTCACAATACTTAACTTTTAAATACATTTCCAAAATTTTCAAGGAAAGTAACATGAATCTGCAGGCGAGATACTTTAAATACCGTACTTAAAATACCGTAACGTAAATCTACCGTAAAGGTAACCACAGTTTAGATGACTTGATAAAGTGTGATATTCTGCATTTTGAAGTACATAAATTTGTTGATTGAGGAAGTAAAATAAGGAGTGTTCTACCTAATAAATGTGACTTTGCAATTGTCAACCAATTTTCAACCTTTGCACAGAAAGAAAGTTTAACTTTTAAATCCCTTTGGAAAAAGCCTGTGAGTAAGGCTGCACTATTTATTTATTTATATTTTTATTCTTTTTTTTTTTATGCATTAACATAATGAATTTTTTTTGATGATTATTAAATGTACATGTTAACAATATTTATTATTTTGAGGTGTATAATACCATTGACATGTTTTGCATAAGCAAAATTCCAAAACACCGAGTTCAAATCAACGACCGACTAAATCGTTTTGGTTTTCAATTTCAAATTGTATATTTTGTACATAACAATCTATATTTTGGAGTGGTCACATGCCATTCTTTATTGGGACGTCAGATTTAATAGCTGAAATACAATCTTACACGCTTCACGTAGTTCTATAATATTGTTTATATAAGTTGTAAAAATCATCAGTTAAAATAAAGTATTTGAGCAAATATACAGAACTATAGGGCTGTAGTCTCTGGCAAATAGGGTCTGAAAAGGTCATATATATGTCCGACTAACTTCCAGATTTTTGCAGTAACAGCCATTCAACGGTAAATTAAGATGTTTAAGGAATTGCAACTTAAAGCAGAAACTCTCCAAATTTATATTTATTTCCATTTGTATGTACATTATATATACTTTCGGGAATTTTCCATTTGTATGTACATTATATATACTTTCGGGAATAAATATGTTTAAACCAAAACATTTTGGCTAATCTGAATGCATGCCGTTTTGAAACGTAAAATGCCGTCACTGCCATAATTAAAGCCGCAATGACACTGGGAAATTATATTGTGAGAGTCTTCAAAAACTAACTTCGAAATCCCTTTTACATATTAGTAGCCTAATATGGCAAATGTAAATATATATATGTTGAAATAAGAATAAATAGAACAATATATTTAAAGTAGCCTTGATGATCACAGAAACATTTTCCTTTTTTCTAAGATGTTTTTAAAATGGTATTAAATGTGAATAAACTTGACCTAAATCTAGATTTATACATGTGCAAATGTTTATGCAAATTGACTTTTATGTTGCACTTATTCATTATCCCTCATGTACAGACTCAATCAAATCGTGTCTGAAATTTTCATGTAATTTTGTTTTGATTATTAATGCTTTCGAGGGATCACTTTGTTTTCAGATATTTATGCTATTTGAACAGATCCAAAGTCCGATTAAATAAATATGATTTTTTTAAATTGTGAAATCAATTGTTTATATGTACACAACTTGGTCCAAAACAGCATTATATCGATCTGTTTTTACCTTGTTATAATTTCTGTAAAAAGAAATGATAGCAGACGATAATTAATTATTGACTGATTCTGCGCGTGATCGAACATTGTTACGCGAGTTGTTATTATCCGATACCCTATAATGCTGAACAACTAGAAGAAATAGGTCATTACATATATATATATACATCAATATACATGTATAAAGCTACCCGTATTATTCCAGATTTCTACGAGGAAAACTTGAGAGAAAAAAGTTTCATACATGTATTAATATTTGATAGAGAACTTGCTTTGTTTATTTGTTTATTGACCTTGTCAGTCATGCTTTTATAATCATTTATTTAACAACTTTTTGCATGTAAGTTTTCTGCTTTTAACGAAAATATGCGTTCAATTATCATCAAACCATAACACAAATCATTGACACATACAAACAATTGTTTCGACATATTATCTATTCATTTTTCAGTATATTTATATCATTATGTGATTATTTGGGTGATTGGTTCAATGAATTGTGGAAATCGATTTATATCTTGTAAATTGACACACCCGGTGTATGTTTATCATTTTATACAATAGTGTTAATCAATTGTTAATATATAAACTACAAAAATACATACCGATCTTTTAGATCGCCTACCCGAAGACATATCCTTTTTAAAATCCGACTCGAAAATAATAGATTTAATTTCTGTTTTCCAGTTTAAAATCTAAATAAAATTATACACCATTTCCGCCACACTAAAACCCAAGTACAGGGTACTAGTTTATATATAATGTCAGGGTATTGAATTAATTCAAAAAGAAACAAACGGAGCGTGCAGTGTGGACACGATTTACAAGAGTTGACCGGATCAGTGGTTTTTTAACGGTACCTAAATATGCAATGCGTGTTTATTTTTTCGAAAATTAAAATAAGCAGTTGATAAAATGCATTTCAAACACATGGTAGACTTTATTTAAGTTATTTGTGAAATGACATAGTTACTGAACCGTGTTTATTTTGGTTATAAACAGCAAATAATATATTTAGAAAACATGTGTTACTTTTCATCTAAAAGGAATATTAACGTTATACATTTGTAGATTAAAAAAATCATCAGAGCGTTCAATTTAGTTTGGTCGGCACAGTGGTTCAAACCAAACCTCATTTATTACAAAAAGTATGCGACGCGCTCTTTTCCGACAATGGAAATATCTTTGTTTATTTCACACCTTAAACATTTTTAGCGTTTGTCAAAAAAATAATTACTGGGTTCAATCATAAACATTTAGCCTCGTTTCCAAGTCAAGAGCCCAAAATCCCATATCAAATGCATATCATTCTCCATATAGCCCCGTTTTTCACATTCTAAGTCCAACTGTCTATATTGTACTCGAGCTGGCTTTGTTTTCATTTTCAAAGTCCAATTTCAAATGCTTACTGTACTTGAACCAAAGCATAAAACAGATATGAGTTCAAATTCTTTATTAATTAATTAAAAAATATAACTATAATAAGGTATACAATCAGGTTCTCGTGTGTTTAACACTCTCTGAAAATTTTTTACAAGTCACCAACGACGGACGCCATGAGGTTTCAGTTTCAAAAGCCAAATTTTCTCTCCGTTCCGGACAAAATATGCCGCAAAATATTCATACATATAATACATACGTATATACATGTAAGGTTATTGTTTGGCAATTGGGCCGGGTACTTTTTTAGTCTGCTTTTCATTAAACGATGTACTCGATACTCTAATGCAGTTTTTTTTGAAGTGATTATGTACAAATCTAAAATAAAATTATGTTCTGTTCTGTTTTTGCAATATCTACTTCTTATTTTTTGTATTTGTAAACATGGGTTATTATATGCAAGGTGTTTTGTGCGAAGGCACAGTTACTGAACCGTGTTTATTTTGATGTTACACAACTAAGGACAACATTTTGAAATCGCTATTTCATTTACTTATACTTTATGTGACAAGAATGTGAACTATTTGTAACATAAGAAAGCCAATGGTAAACAAAAATCAAGGTATTGAATAGAGACAAAACATGTGTCCTGAATTGTAATAGAATCAATAGGGATTTTAAATGATCTTGATCAGTTTTTGAAATACTTTCATCAAATAAAGAATTTGTATCAATTGATAAGCTCAAAATATATTTCCTCTCACATTTTCCATTTATTTCAAAAGAATGTACACCTTTCATTAACTCCATTGTTTTTAGCTAATTGCATCTTTTCCCCGTTTATTTTTATTTATACATTTTATAGAAATATAATAGTCTTAGCATAGACAAAGGTATAAATTCTGGGAAATCTTAATAAGACATTTCAGTAAGAATTACGCCTGATTATATGTTGAAATGGCTTATCTAAATGTGACATTTAAGAAACTTGACTCGGTATAGATTCGGCCTTAAGTAGTAGTCCGTACAGGCAGTACACAAAAATATCATAAACTATTTAATTCATAATCAAAGGGCTGCAAGCTCTGTGGTATTTTCTGATCTTTGCAACTAAATCGTACTGTATATCTGTATTTTCCATCTTGCAGAGCACCGAGATGCAGCGACTGCGTTTAGATTTTTTACTGTAACAGTTTAAGTTTGATACATACGGAATTTTGCATGACCAGAGTTGCATCAAAAATCATTTATGTTCATTTTTTATGACATCCACACTTTATCCTTGCATATCGTGGCTTAAAAAAAGTTTTATGGACTGGGATTTGAACCCCAGACCTCTAGCACATTAGACGAGCACGTTACCCCTACGACACGGGAAAGGAAAGTTGATTACTTCATTGTTTACATTTTGCTACTTTTATGACATTTTTTCACATTTATCGCTACTTTATTCAGGCAACAATTATCTTAAATTTCTCTGATACTATTATCTAAACATTAGAAATTTATGTTTGCCATTTCTAAAGAAGTTTGTAAAATTTCAATGTCGCAGATCGAAAATAAGTAAGAACTCAGTATTTAAGCAGAACTCAGTTGACACCTTTTAAACCCAAAGTGCGTTGATATGTAGCATAATTACGCACTTTGGGGTCAATTTCTCGATTTTGACCCCAAAGTGCGTTGGACCCCAAAGTGCGGTGTGAAGTGTAACGCACTTTGTGGTCGGACCCCAAAGTGCGTTTGACCCCAAAGTGCGGTGCTACAGAGCTACGAAGCGAGACTCGATATTTTAACACGAGCGCAATGCCGAAGTATCCCGTACCATAAGATTTCACGGTAGAATATCGTGCATTAATTTCATGTTGTGCGGGAATTTCGCTTTTCGTGTCTCTCGGTAGATATAGACGTCTTAATTTTATCTGTCTTCTGTTTAAATTTCATCATGGATATGTTAATGACATTTTGGTAGAAACAAATGCGGGCAAAGTTTGTATTTGATAAAATGAATTTCAATTTTAGTATTGGTGGTTCTTCAATGTCGCAACAGTTTGTTTTTATGTGATTTTACAGTAGCAAATGCGGCGCTAGAATTTTTTCTTAGAAGATTCATGGTCCCCACTTTTCTCATCATTTTATATCAGTTTTATCATAACTCTGTAAAATTAGATAAGGATTCGTTCACTAAAATTGGTCGAGCTATGCTTTTTAGCTCTTTGAAAAATGTAAGTTTTACAAAGAAGATAAAGGACAATATGGCCTCAAATGATTTTCTTGTCTCCCATCGACGTACGAGACGCGAAGCGAGACGCAAGATTCCGGTGAGATGCGAAACAAGTCACGATATTGTATCGTTCAAACATCGCCTGATTACCGCGTTGATTTTGAACACAAGTAACATTTTTTGTCTCCCTGAACCGCGATGCATGATGGTTCAATGGTCAAAGCGCAATGAAACGATGATGAAAACACGACGAAACGGTGATGAAACAACGATGGCACGACGATGAAACAACGATGGCACGAAGATGAAATCACGATTATGCGATGTCACGATGGTGAATATCGCATTTTCATCTTTATGCCATCACAATTTCAGCATCGTACCATTGTATTTTGTCATCAAATTTCTTGAATAAGAGATACTATAATTGATAGTTCTACTGTAGCTTTTAGGTTTAAAATTTCATAAAGCATTAGCAAACCTATTGTTGAATACACTTGACATGAGGTAAAACAGCGAATCCCGATTCTAAAATATAAATTCGTCGTGAGAAAATATATGACAAATAATTCATAGAAGATGACAAGATACAAATGTGCTTTCTTGTCTCTTAAAAAACCTGAGACAAATGTGCTTTCTTGTCCTTTAAAAGACTTGATCGGAGCACATTTGTCACACAAATGTGTTTTTTGGGGTAGATATTTGAGGTCCCATTTGTCTCATGTGGGACAAATGAGAACACATCGGTCTTACGTAAAAAAAATGCGTTCCGAGACAAATGTGCTCCTACACTGCTTTGTAACAGGTGAGCTAAAATTCAAAACCTTTAAAGGCACATAATGCCTCCGGAGAGAATGTGTTTTTTCTTCATTAGAAAGGGTAATGATAAGTTTAATAATGGTTAACAATGGTTTAAAAGCATGTTAGATGATAATCAGAGCTTAATGTAAAATTTTTTATCGTAAAGTAGCAAAATGTAAACAGTAATTTTTTGTCTTCCATACAAAATAATAAATCACTTTAACTATAGCAATTGCCAAAAGGCAATATAATAAAAAAAATGCTAATCACATGAAGAAATTAGAGCTTAATGTAAAATTATTTATCATAAAAGTAGCAAAATGTAAACAGTAATTATTTGTCTTCCATACAAAATAATAAATCACTATAACTTTAGCAATTGCCAAAAGGCAATATAATCAAAAAATGTTTCAGGTAATTTGGCAATGAGTAGCTTTTTTGGAAACATTGAACAGTATATTGGTCACATGTGCCACCTCATCATATAACAAATTGCATGTTGCAGTTTCTATATAGCTACCTATCAATTCTGTAAAGTTTTATTGAAATTGCATTAGTGGTATAAGAAGAGTAGTCTGGACAAACTTTATTAAAACCTTTTTTATTCAAGGGTCATAACTCGGCCAAAACATTCAAACATTATCAAAAATTAATGTCGTTTAAAGATCCTGTATGTTGTGTTCAAAGTATACCACACTAAGTGAAATTATTCAACAACATGCACAAATAGACTTAGCATAAAGTTTGGCTGTAATTGCACCAGAAGTTTTTTCTGAGGCATGATATATGGGCCTTTAAATGTAGCAGCAAAAATCATCACAAAGAGAATCACGCCGTTCGTTACCCAAACAAACAAGATGGTGGATGCAGCCAAAAGGTAGGTTTTTCCCTTTTTTCTCTAACATTTATGATGTTCTGATGAAAAGGTACATAATAATAACCTTCTCCACAATTTTCCTGGCACACAGGATTTTATTTCATGATGTTTTGTCCCGTACTTCATCTGAAATACGCGTCACCAGATTTGAATTCCACCGGCTTGATCATGGTATAGCCAAGCCAGATTGGTATAAAATTTCATTAGGTTTGCTGATTAATTAATTTTACAGATATTTGCAACTGACAGTTAATTTCAAGTTTAATACAAAGCTATGAGAACTAGATAAGATGTTGATTAAGAAATACTTATAACATGTTAAGTTGTTGTTGTTGTTATTTTTATGAGAGGACAGACAGGAAAGCAGCTTATTGGATAAGAGAATTGTACTGGCAAGTGAATCATATGTAGGTATTTTCCTTCTCCCAAAAATGAGAGAAATATGTTTCTGCCTAGTTGACAATTACAAATTCAAAATTTTTACAATCAATATAGAATATCAGTTATCAGTTATCAATATTAGAATATCAATCTTATTTGGAAAAAAGTCACAACAAATAAAAATGTTATATTTCTATAACTTGCAAATATATACAAAAGATAAACATAAAGAGCACACATAGAAAGGGAGATAATTGTAGGAAATTGAAAAATGATAGCCTCCCTTGAACAATTAGTGCATGAAAAAGGAATTTCCGATTTTAAAAAGTCCAGACAGAAACAAAAACAGAAATACAAAGGTAAAGAGTTCCATTTAAATTTCAAAGAAGTTACATAATTTCATAAAAGTAGTTTTAGAATGTAGCAGGGTTTCATTTATAAAGCACAGCAACTTTCTTTTTTAAGACTTCTGTTCAATACAATATTGTTTTAAAAATCACCATGACAACCAAAGTTAGTTTCTTTTTTAACATATTCATTTTATTTAATTAAATTCATGAATAAATTCTTGTGAAAGTCTGAACTGTCTTCAATAAATCTGTCAAACAGACTCCACTGAGGTTTATTTTACATAAAAGGAAATATTTCCCCAAGATTTGGGTACCAAATTGTTGTTGGCCTGGACTACACATTTTCAGGTAATTTTCTCACTTAATATTTCGTTTTTTTTTAATTCTTTTGAACTTTTGAGCTCATGTGATTACCTTCAAGACAAAAATTCATTTATTCGCCAAAAATCCATTCTAAATATTTCAAATAATGGACTTGAAATGAAATGAAGTTGAAAAAAATATAATTACGTTATCAAAAGATTTTCTATTAGTTTAAACAGTATTTAAATCACAAAATAGTACACATGTTCATTACAAACAATATGGGGTATACATGTAAATCTTGGATATGAAAACAAGTATTTAATACTTATATTAATTAATCTCCTTTGGTATAATTGGAAAAATAATAGCTGGATTTTGATAAATAATATAATGTTCAGAGGACAAAAATAGATGTAATTAAAATAACTATATTATGGTTTTTCTTCTACAGTATATATGTGTAGACCATTGACTCCATGAGATACCGCAAGGTAAAAGAAACGTACTAAAAATAAAGGCAAAAATAGGCAGAAAAACTACTAATTATGATATGAATATAGAACAAGCTATGGTGGTCATTCTTCACCTACGTGTTATGTATATCAGAAGTTTTTAAAGTAAGTAAAAATGATATACAGACATTTAAGGCAATTAAAAATAAAGCAATATAAAAAAGTTTTTTACTATCAAATTAATTTATTCATCAGCCTGTAGATATTTGTTTGAAAAATGAAAAGATTTGCAAGAAGCACATAAATAGCCATAAAGGCATACATGAGACTGTATAAGTCATATAAAAGTATGATTTTAAATTTTACGTTATCTGAATTATTTGTTTAAAAAGTATGAAAACAATAATAATTTTGAGAAACATGAAATAAAGATATACACGAAAATGTATTGAATAAAGCAATATATAAAAAAGAAACTTAAATTGACCTAATCTAATGTCATTAAAAAACGTAATAAAAGGGGACTAACTCTATATATATTTAAGATATGACTGTCTGGCTTCTTTCCCTTGGATTATTACATAACATGTATTAGTACATATGTGGATTATTATGAAAACAAATTATAACAAGCAAATTCGTTGAATTTATATCCCCCGCCGAGTACTGGTTATTATTAACTCAACAACTGAAAACATAAGGCTTTATTCATATATTAATCATGGCATAAACAGTAATATTCTTTGAACTTGATAAATATTCAGGGCAATAACAGAGCCATAACTTTGTGTTAAATAGTAAAATCTGGAAATGCCAATGAGATGTATGCATACTAATAACTAATCAAGGGCCATAAATCTGAGTTATAAGTATCTGACTGGAACAAGGCGACTATATGCACATCTCCTCTTAGTATCCCATAAAGTTTCATTGAATTCCAGCCAGAAGTAGCAGAGAAGTAGCGAGGAAACAAATATTTTTCTATATGGATACTGCATAACTAATCAACGGCCATAACTCTGAGTTAAAGTGTCTGACCGGAACAAGCCGACGATATGCGCATCTCCTCTTGGTATTGAAGGTTCCCATAAAGTTTCGTTGAATCCCAGCCAGTAGTTGCAAAGAAGTAGTGCGGAAACGATGTTTACTCTATATGCATACTACATAACTAATCAAGGGCCATAACTCTGAGTTGAAGGGTCTGACCGGAACAAGCCGATGATATGCGCATCTCCTCTTGATATTGATGATTCCCATAAAGTTTCGTTGAATTCCAGCCAGTAGTTGCAGAGAACTACTCCGGAAACGATTTTTACTCCATATGCATATTGCATAACTAATCAACGGCCATAACTCTAAATTAATGTGTCTGACCGAACAAGCCGACGATATGCGCATCTCCTCTTGGTATTTAAAGGTTCCCATAAAGTTTCGTTGAATTCCAGCCAGTAGTTGCAGAGAAGTAGCGCGGAAACGATTTTTACTCCATATGCATACTGCATAACTAACCAAGGGCCATAACTCTGAGTTAAAGTGTCTGACAGGAACAAGCCGACGATATGCGCATCTCCTCTTGGTTTTAATGATTCCCATAAAGTTTCGTTGAATTCCAGCAAGTAGTTGCAGAGAAGTAGTGCGGAAACGATTTTTACTCTATATGCATACTACATAACTAATCAACGGCCATAACTCTGAGTTAAAGTGTCTGACCGGAACAAGCCGACGATATGCGCATCTCCTCTTGGTATTGAAGGTTCCCATAAAGTTTCGTTGAATCCCAGCCAGTTGTTGCAAAGAAGTAGTGCGGAAACGATGTTTACTCTATATGCATACTACATAACTAATCAAGGGCCATAACTCTGAGTTGAAGGGTCTGACCGGAACAAGCCGATGATATGCGCATCTCCTCTTGATATTGATGATTCCCATAAAGTTTCGTTGAATTCCAGCCAGTAGTTGCAGAGAACTACTCCGGAAACGATTTTTACTCCATATGCATATTGCATAACTAATCAACGGCCATAACTCTAAATTAATGTGTCTGACCCGAACAAGCCGACGATATGCGCATCTCCTCTTGGTATTTAAAGGTTCCCATAAAGTTTCGTTGAATTCCAGCCAGTAGTTGCAGAGAAGTAGCGCGGAAACGATTTTTACTCCATATGCATACTGCATAACTAACCAAGGGCCATAACTCTGAGTTAAAGTGTCTGACAGGAACAAGCCGACGATATGCGCATCTCCTCTTGGTTTTAATGATTCCCATAAAGTTTCGTTGAATTCCAGCAAGTAGTTGCAGAGAAGTAGTGCGGAAACGATTTTTACTCTATATGCATACTACATAACTAATCAACGGCCATAACTCTGAGTTAAAGTGTCTGACAGGAAAAAGCCGACGATATGCGCATCTCCTCTTGATATTGATGATTCTCATAAAGTTTCGTTGAATTCCAGCCAGTAGTTGCAGAGAACTACTCCGGAAACGATTTTTACTCTATATGCATACTACATAACTAATCAAGGGCCATAACTCTGAGTTAAAGGGTCAAACCGGAACAAGCCGACGATATGCGCATCTGCTCTTGATATTGATGATTCCCATAAAGTTTCGTTGAATTCCAGCCAGTTGTTGCAGAGAACTACTCCGGAAACGAAATTCGGACGGACGGACAACACCAAAACTATATCCCCCTCCCGATTTCATCGGCGGGGGATAACAACTGTGTTTCAGTTTCATGACATTGAGCTTATATAATGGTGGGTGTAGACAACTATTAAGAATTTCAGTTGTTTAATAGAAATGACTTATCAAACTTTTCTCTGTGTTCCTCACAAAAATTGAACCACAAGTGATACAACCATATGTTCCCACTGACCTCACAGAGCTTACATGATCTTCATATGACAATGAAAGAGGCAAAGCACGAAAAATTCACGACCATTTTATGAAAAAATAATGATATATATATATGCAGTTATTATATATCTAATAAACCTAACCAACCGACAATCTGTATTTGTACCTTGTGACCGTCCAATACATTCCAATATTGGATCAAAAAAATGTTATTTTCATATTGGACGGTTGGGTACATGTGCACTAAACTGCCGTGCATATTTTTTGATGTGAAGTCTTTTGCGTTATATAAACATAGCACGCTTAAATGTTAAAGTAATAACATTGTCCATGTGATAATTGAGATAAGGGGTGTCAATGTGATGTTCTTCGGATTTACTGTTATATCATTATGATGTTTATTAAACAGATATTAATGATAAATGTAAGTTGTTACAATGTTCAGGCAATGTTAACTGTCATTTTCTTAAACTTACAAAAAATGATAAATAAATAAATGAATAACGTCTAAAAAGTATTTGTTGTATCAGTCACACCCTAAAACTTATGTATATATACAAAAAAACATTTATAAATTATTACTTTTTCTTCTGAAAAAAGTTGACAGGGGTCACAGGGCTATTATTGATTATGGTGGTAGTGGTGGTGGTTTTGGAAGTTATATTGATGGTGTTAATGATTGTAGTAATAGAGGTTTGTTGCTGATATAATGTGGTGATAATAAGGGTTGTGGTTCTGTTGGGGGTATTGATGATCATGATATTTCAAATTAAAGATATATAATAAAAAGGTTATTATACATTTTACTGTACAATAAGGAATACATTTGGAAAAATTCATCAAGTATAACTTTTCAAGCTGTGTATAGTAAAATATATAATAACCTATAAGTATGTGATACTTGAATGTGTATATGTATAATCTATAAGTTATCTTGAATATCTCAATATATAGATTTTTTGTTTTTATTTCCAGGGCATTTCCGAAATTGAAACAATACATAAAGACTTTTCTGCTATGATGCTACTGTTGACAAAAGGCAGAGAATGTCACCTGTAAATCGTTCAAATGGACTATAATACTTATTGCAAAAACACTAAATACTTCAAAGGATCTTTTATTTGTATATGTAATATTTGATGAAGATTGTTTATCTTATCTTCTACCAGAGATGGAACGATTGACACTATACATTTTGATGATAATAATATGGATAGTGTTTACTGGAATCGCCCCAGTGTTTTTTATAATCCCTATCTTTTTCTCAACTTACTATGAATTTAAATATTTCTTTGATCAGGTCACAGAACCTGATGTGAGCAATTCAACAAAAAGGACAATACTTCCGCTAGTAGTGAATATAGTACTTATATTTTTACTTTCTGGGGCTTTATTTTTAATGAGAGATTGGTTTGGAGATTTCATGTACATGTCCGAGATACTACCAAGATTTTCAAATAAATTCAAGAAGCCTAATGACAATACGCTATCAAAGAAAATGGATAATGACATGTCACTTGGAGCTATCATATCAGGCAATTTTTTTATAGGAACAGGACGGAGAATCGGAGGGAAATACATAGTGACATATCTGCATGTTGTGAAGAAAATTACAAGTTAGAAAACTTTTTTCTTCTTTTTGTTTGTTTTTGTTGGGTTTTAAGTCCAACGATGATAAGTCATATTATGGTGACTTTCAGCTAAACCAGTCTCAGGTGCCCCTCCCTGAATTATTATTATTATAAGTGGACACTCAAGTAGTAGCATTCTGGGCAGCTTTTCTCGCATGAATGAGTTATCAAATTAATCCACTCAGCCCTATAGAGAAAGGTTTAAGCTTGCAATAATCAATAAGCCACTGGACATTAAGACCCTGCAGTAACATATTTTAACATGTTCGTTTTGATTTTCATTCGTTAATGTTTATGCTATTTTTTCGTTTAAACGAAATAACTAAAGAATGTCAAAACTCCGTAGCAATGCCAATATACAAGTAAACAATTGTCTTCATCCACTTATGACAAATCTTATACATGTATGTAAGGAAATGTATATTAAAATGCTTCAAATTCTTTTAAAGATTAAATTACTATTTTCATTCAGATCCAGGAGGACTGGCCAGTATTGCAGACATTGACCGGTCCAAGCTTGATGATCCCACTGTGTATGTCACTTTTGCTTCATCATTAAAGCGCCGCCAAAGACCAAAATTTCACATTAAACCAGATGTGATTTACATTAATGCACAGTTTGAATTTGCAATACTTGAGCTAAAATCTTTTGAATGTTTACCAAGAGGTCACAAGGATAGAGTCTCTGAAATACGACCAGAAAATGCAAACAAGTTCAAGAAATCTCACGACAGCACACTATCAGAGCAAATGGTTAATAACATGTCAGTGAAAATGAAATCAGTTGGGGCTATCATATCAAACGATTCTGTACGAGGGACAGTATTTAGAGTCGGGAGCAAATACGTGATGACAGCTCTGCATGTTGTGAAAAGTGTTACAAGTAAGAAACTCTTTTTTTTCTCTTTGTTTTGTTGGGTTTTGAGTCCCATGCAAATAGTCAAATGGTGACAGTAGAGCTTTATCAGTAGAGGAAGACCTTTGGTGCCCCTCCCTGAATGTTTTTAATCATTTCACGAACAAGTGGGCGCCCATGTAGGGCCACTGACATTCCATAGCCAGCTTGGAAGCTTCCAAATCCTGACAGGATTCAAATTAGCAACCTAATCCACTCCACCATGGAAAGATATCTTTTAGTTTGCAATATTAGATAAGCAATGACCATTCATATGACATTAAAGTTTTGGTAACAGAAATAAACAAGTAAGCAACAGTATTTGATAACCACTTATTATGAAACTTATACATATGTCTATAAGGAGATTTATGTGATATCTTAATTAAAAATATTTTGAATTTTTCATGGATGCATTCAGATCCTAGAGGACTGCCCAGTATTGCAGATACTGACTGGTCCAAGCTTGATCATCCAACTGTGTATATCAAATTTGCTGCATCGGTGATGGACGACCAAAGCCCAAAATTTTACATTAAACCAGATGTGATTTACATGAACAAACAGCTAGACATTGCAATACTTGAACTTAAATCTTTGGAATGTTTACCGAGAAGCCTCAAATTGAGTAAATATATGGGCCACGTGAAATGTGTGAACATAATTGGATTTGGACATCCAATTGATCCCAGGAAAAGACTGGATCCAAACTGTGAAGTTCTGAACATTAACCATATAATTACAGCCATTGAAAACTTTTTCAATGCAAATCCAAGTGTCTTGCAACTAAATGGACTTAAACCTGGAGGTATAAAAGGTGAATACAATGAATTAGGGAACACTTTTATGTTTCCTTGCCACACATTTTTTGAACAAGGTTCATCAGGAGCACCTGCTATAGAGGAGAATGATGTTGTAGGAATATTAGTAAAAGGAATGCCATTCAGTTACTACGAAATGAGAGATTCTCCATATTTTACAGCCAGTGGTATTGACAAGTTACCTAACAACTTGAAGTTTGAGCTATGTATCAAAACCGAAAGTATCTTCAATGATATGCGCTACGTAGTACCAATGCTAGCTGATGATTTATTTGACTGAAATGGGAAACATTTTGATATATTATTTTGTGGAAGAAAAGGATCAGATGAATGTAATAAGGTATTGTCATTAACTATACGTCAAAAGTCATCAAAGGAACGGATTGGAGAGTGTTTCACTGAGAGCTTAGAGTTTCCAACACTAAAATAAATTAGTATAAACTGAAGTTATCTCTGTGTTAATTTTTAAGTCTTTATAAAGCTACACTGAAAGTCCGACCACATAATGTGATATCATGACACTTTCATTTTTTTACACCACTACTCATAGAGTAAAGACAGCTAGACTTTACATTCAGCAGCAGTTTCGTTGTGCAACTTCATTTCATTAAATATCACATTCACATGTCACCTTTGCTTAATCAAGGGTACCGTATTTACTGAAGCATGTAACTTTAGTATGGAACTTTACTGGATTATACATGTACCATATTATGAACAAAATGAACGAAATTTCCAACATTTTTTCAAAGTTATTATCACAGACCAATACGCATCGCTCTAGCACTCTTATACTAAAGTGAAATATAAAATTCATTACATTTTCAGAGCAAGTTTTCTTCTGCGGCTTTTGTGAAGGACTATAGTGGACCATACTTCCCTTTAAGATTTAATTTTAAAGTGTATGAAACTACATGTCTGTTGAAAAAAATATTGTTTGATTTCTTTTTTAAAGAATACTTCCAAAAGCTTGTATAATAGAAATACGGTAGTCTTAAAAGCAAATCGTACATGCACAAAATCATTGTAAAACTGTTAAAACAGCATATTTTAATCCATCTGCATATATTTTTATTTTGTTAACTTACAATAAATAACAGAGACATTTGATGTTGAATAATTTTGTTCCACCTATGTGTTTGATCAGTTTGTTTTTTATGCTCCCCGAAAAATTTCGGGGGAGCATATAGTCGGCGCCTTGTCCGTCTGTCTGTCTGTCCGGCCGTCTGTCTGTCGGTCCGTTGTCTTGTCCGGAGCATAACTTGAAAACCCTTGGAGATAATTGGTTTAAACTTCATACAGTGGTAGAGAGCATTGAGGGGGAGTGCAGTGTCAAAGAACCATAACTCTATTTTGCCCGGATTTTGAATTATCTCCCATTATAGAAAAATCTTGTCCGGGACATAACTCTAAAACTATAAGAGATATCAACATGAAACTTTGTAGGTGAATTAGATCTCAATGGGTAGATGTGCAGTGCATAAGAACAATAACTCTTTTTGTCCTAATTTTGGAGTTATTGCCCTTTGTTAATTTTAACACTTTGAACTTTGTCCGGAACATAACTCTAAAACTATAAGAGATATCAAGATGAAACATTGTAGGTAGATAGATCTCATTGAGTAGAAGTGCAGTGCAGTGCAAAAGAACCATAACTCTGTTAAGCCTTATTTTTGAATTATCTCCCATTTTAGAAAAATCTTGTCCAGGACATAGCTTTAAAACTATAAGAGATATCAACATGAAACTTTGTAGGTATATATATTTCAATGGGTAGATGTGCAGTGCACAAGAATCATAACTCTGCCTGGCCTAATTCTGGAGTTATTGCACTTTGTTTATTTTAACCTTTTGAAGTTGTCCGGGGCATAACTCGGAAACCAGAAGAGATATCAACAAGAAACTTTGTAGGTTGATAGATCACATTGATTAGAAGTGCAGTGCAAAGAACAGTAACTCTGCCTTGCCTAATTTTTGAATTATTGCACTTTGAACTTTTTTCCAGGGACATAACTCTGAAACTACAAGAGGTGTACTTTCCTGTGTCCAAAACCTATTCGGGGAGCATCACCCGGCTCAAACCGTGCTCTTGTTTTTTTTTGGGTGTTGTTGTTGTTTGCATTATAATACATGTATAACTATTGTGTGCCAAATAATTTTCAAATGCAACCATGAAAGCTGATCAATGACAGCTATGACCATATACAAATGTACAGAGTTCCAGCTTTAAACAGGATATTCCAAGACAGGATAGGGGCTGGGAGATAACAATTTTGTCCCCTAGCTCTACAATAAAGTATTTTTTGTTTCTCCTCCTGCTACCCAAAAATGTTCTTGTAAAAAATGGAGGTAGTGTCTGTCAATAAGAAAACTCTTCTTAGTTCTTGGGAATCATTCTAAATTCTTTTTTTGAAGTCCATATAATTCAGATATGTTCAATGAATATATATTTAAATGAAAACATAGTTTGCCTACCTACCCAAATGGGTAAGAAGAGGGGAAAATATATATTTTTAAGGTTGGTCCTTAAACACACACACTGGGTAATTTCAAGGTCCTTTTACCATATTTTGCTTTATTTTTTTATAGCTCTATCAATGGAAACAGTACTGGAAACAGTACAAGTTTAATTATATGAACCATTGTTTTTATTTTTTGTATGACCATAAGTATGTTTGCTCTGTTATGTTATGTCAATAAATGTTGTAAAACCATCATAAATAAATTGTGTATCCATTGAAATGAACTCTAATCAATGTATTAATTTTTAACTCTCCAGTATGTTGTAATGCATAATATCATGTTATTTTTCTTTTCTAAGAGTAAGTAATGAGTATGCAAATTTTTAACTACAGGTAAACATTATACAATGCAACGCAATACAATTATTCATGCATTTTTCAATTAATTGCTTTATTTTATGCAACAAGAAATATCTCTTGTAGGTCAATAGTTTGTAAATATGTTGTAAATAGCATGATGAGTTATACACAAATTGTTGAAATCATGTGTTACAGAAGTTGAAATCTAGTGTTGCAGAAGTTGATATCTGGTGTACAGAAGTTGAAATCTAGTGTTACAGATTAGTTGAAATCAAGTGTTAAAGAAGTTGAAATCTAGTGTAACTGTGATTGAAATCTATTTTAATTTTTTTCAATTAACCGAAACATTTAGTTGGCAAAAACTGCTTCAAAACGTTCTTTTTACTAAATTACAATGAGGTAGTTAGAAATGTATTGACCACAGGACACTGACTTGAGAAATATTTTTGTAAACTTGTTTTTACATCAACAAAAAATAGATAAAACATATAAGATGTTAAAATAAATTAATGATGCTGATTTTCCTGTCATTTTTTACTTAAAAATTTAAGTGTCGACTTTATCTACTGTTGAAGGGTAAAAAGACCATGTTTTGTATACTCCATTCAGGACCTTAAAGAAGTACCAATTCTCATTTTCATACATAATTTTTGTAGTGTAACGTCAAGTCTTTGAACTGAACTTTATTAAGGTTGTTCAACATTTAAAATAAATAGGAAGATAATTAAGATATTACAAAAAGTATGTGATTTAGTGTCGGAGTTATCTCTCCAACCAGTAGTGTTACAGAAGTTGAAATATTTGCTCAGGTTTTATATACATTATCATTATTTGTATATGTTAAGCTATCATAATTAAAAATACGCCATCATTTAATTAAGATTGGTAGGTTACAATTCAGATATAATCATTTTTTTAAATTCCTTTTGTGTTGTGATACTTATAATGTTAAAAAAATCAACATCAAAATGGTTTTGTACTGGAAAACTATTACTCAATAAAGGGTAAAATTTAGTTTTTGTCTATTAATTCTTATTTTTATCAACAAGAAAAAAAGTTTTTTAAAAAAGTCTATCCATATTGTTCAATGAAAAATTATGTAACAAAATTCAGAATAAAACTGTTTATAATGTTTACAATGCTAGCAACATATCTTTATGTTTATTTCTATGATTATAAATTTCATAAAAATAATTCATTAGATTTATTTTATACTCTATAACACCTTTCATTTATAACAGTTACATACATGTATTTAAATGATATAGAAGAATATTTTATGTTAAATGGTTTTGAAGGTATTGACTTAGGTATTTTAAAGATATTTTTATTATTGTATGCAGATGATATAGTGATTATGTCTGAAACAGAGGAGGGCTTACAAAAAGGATTAAGATTATTAGAAATATATTGTGATAGGTGGAAATTAAGTGTTAACTGTACAAAGACAAAGGTTTTGATTTTTAAAAAAGGGGGTAGACTTAGACAGAATTTGAATTTTTATTATAAAGGTCAGTCAATTGAAATAGTTAAAAAGTTTACATATCTAGGCATTGTTTTTTCTGTTGGTGGATCTTTTAATATGACTTTTGAAACACTCTCTGGACAAGCATTGAAGGCGTTATATAAACTTGAAAAAGAGCTGATAAGATTCCTTGTATGTCAGTTTAAACATAAAACTGGATTTATTTGATAAACTTATTTTACAATTCTTAACTATGGATCACAAATATGGGGTTTTACTTGATAGTCATGTATTAGAAAACATTCATTTAAAGTATTGTAAGAAGTTGTTAGGAGTTAAAAGACAAACACAAAACAATTTTTTTATCTATGGTGAACTTGGAAGGACATCTTTAAAAACAATGAGAGCTATTAATGTTATAAAATACTGGTTTAAAAGTTGTTCAGTTAAGTAGTACAAAATATGTCAAAGTTGTATATGATCTTATGTGTAGAGATTTAGAACTTAAACCGAATTCAAAGTCCTGGGCTAAGTCTGTTATGATTTTGTTACAATCTTTAGGTTTCAATGAAGTATGGATTAATCAGGGCGTTGGTGATATAAATATATTTTTAGGCAGTAGTAAAACAAAGATTAACAGATACATTTATACAAAATTGGTAATGCAACTTTAAGAGATTCATCAAGAAGCAAGAAGTTATGTATTATTTTGTGATTTTGGTTTTTAAGTCATATCTGTCAATGGTTAATATTGAAAAATTTAGGAAATCTTTATCACGTTTCAGGACATCATCGCATAGATTAAAAGTAGAAACTGGTAGATGGCATAAACCTGAAGCCAATTCCAATATAATGAAAAAAATGTAATATTTGCTTAAAACTAGAAGATGAATTTTCATGTATTATTAGAATGTCCACAATACAATGTTTTGAGAAAACAGCTCATAGATAAATATTATTGGAAAAACCAAAATATACCAAAATTTATTGAATTGTTAACATCTCAAAATGAAAATGTTATAAGAAAATTTATCAATGTTTATCTTAAAAATGTTTGAATTAAGAACAAATGATGAAATTCGTAAATTATAGTACCTAGGAAGGTAAATGTAATGTTACTTAATTGATATCATTATGTAAAACCTGTACTTCATTTAAACCTTGCTGTAATATGTTATTCTGTTCATATTAAAGCAAACTTATGACTCAAATATACAGTAAATGCTAAATATATGTTATATATGTTTAATGACCTTGATATTATGTTTATGTATGTATGTATGTTTGTATATATATTGTGTGCTCATGGGTATAATACCCACATGTATTTGGAATAAAATCTTGAAAATCTTGAATCTTGTAATTATATTGAGGAAATTAAATATTTGTAGATTCAATACTGAATTTATTGAATAAGTTGCATAAAATTATAGCCAGAGACTCGCATAATATTATTTTATTAAACAAGTTAAATAAATAAAGAAATGAATCTACACAAATATAATTTTCTTTTTATCAAATTAACTGTATACTGTTCAATAGAAATTGCCTTTTTCTTGTTTTAAGTAATCCCTTTCAATGATATTTGTAAATTTAAAATTATGGACTTTTGATTTTGATGGTTTTGATTTCTGCTCTGATAAAAGCACATATCATTATTATATATACATGTACTATCATATCATTTTTGCTTCATTTTACAAACTGTATTGATATGTTACATCTATTAGTATGCTTGTAGTCTTTTGCTTATATTAGCAATATTATCAAATAACTTTTAAATAATGCCTGGAGTTTATACCAATCATTTAAATAACAATTAATTTATGTTAGTTTGTTTTTCTGGTTTTTATGTTTTCAAGACATTTTTTGTGATATCTCAGGAGTCGATCCACATAACTGGTTTTCCTGGATAACTAACCAGTCAATAACAATTTGCCCACAAGTTACAGACTACAAATCCTACATGATTTCAGTGGTGAGAGACAAATGATCTTTAGACTCCATGAGTGTCTTGGAATTTAATTTAATGTCACAAAGAAATTATTCCTAGACTTGAGGATCGAAGACAGTGACCTTGTTTTCTAATCCAATGCTCTCCTTATTGAGATATGTGATAAAAACAACTGTATAAATAATGAAGATTTTTGTTTATTGCAGTACTACAATATTAAGGGGATTATGTATACGCACGACTACCTTTTCCTACAGGAACTTTTTAAAATTATTTCATAATAAAAGGGCTCTTAGCACTGAATTGCGAGCGCATTCAAGTGTCAACTTGCTCCCTTAGACTTTTTTCAAAGAAGTAAAGAATAAAGCAAATTGGTTATTCAACTCTATAATCAAATCCTGATGAACATTATCCAGCCAGTGTATTTTTTTTAAAGACAAGAGCACTGTACAGATAGGGCAATATAAACCTCTAATGCACAATGAATCAAAAAGTTACATTGAAGCTGATCCATGAATACTTCTTGGCACATTTAACCGAAATTGTGCAATATCAGCTGGTTCTCCACACAGTCATAATAAATAACATTTCAATTGGTGGAGACTGGTCAGTTCATTAATTTTTACCCAAATATATTTTGTCAGAAATCGTGCAACATGCACATGTGCATCTTCACATTACCTCAATTAAACCAACATCTGAACCATTTAATTTTTAGCATCATAGAAATAAATAATCTTGCAAGCATTTAAAGCCTTCAGATGAGACAAAATATTTCAAGAAAATCAAACCTCATACAAGAGTTCTACAATTTAAAAATAAAGTAAAAAGATTCAAGGTTTAAGTAATAACTAACATGTTATGTGCGAATATTGACTGATTGACCATATTTTGCGTTAAAAGCTACTATTTGCATATTTTAAAATCATTTTGGTAATTTACATGAACTGTAATTGTCATTTGCAATGTATTGATTACTTTCATTGTTCATAATATTTCACTTTTAATATGATACATTTCAAAAATTTATGGAGAAGTAGCATGAATCTGGAGGTGTGCTACTTTAAAGTAATGTAGGGTTGAATTAAAACTGTTCTAAAAATATCAAAATTATTTAACCACAACAAATAAAGAGGTTTTTCCCTTAAAACATGATATGGGTTACAGGATTATGTTTGCCTATGTAAAAATCACTGGTTCAGGATTCAAACAAATTAATTCAGTGGTGATTTGTCCTACACTCATTATTCATTATTTGTTTGCATGTAACACATGAAGTAACAAGAGCACCAAATGCAGTGTTAATGTTCATCTATAAAATAACCAACTTGATGAATATCTAAGTTTAAAAGGGGCAGAACTCCTAAAGTATTGCTTTCAGGATAATGCCCCTCGTCTTACAACTTGGCATTGTCATTATAATCAAATATTCAAAAGTTTCGAAATTTCATAACGGATATCTTTCACAGATATCATTCTACTAAATAGGAAATTAAGACAAAAACATTTAAGTTAAAAAGGGGTATAAATCTAATATATAGAGGATATTTGTTTAGTTCAGTGTAAGATCGGAATATATTTCACCGAGTGAGCACCAAAAGGTATATTTCACGAGTGGCGCAGCCACGAGTGAAATATGAACCTTTGGTGTTCACAAGGTGAAATATATTTCGATATTACACTAAACTCAACAAATTTTCTTTTTATTATATGCAAAGAAACGTTTTAAAAAGACATTTAACCTAATACTGAATGAAAAGCGCGCCAAATAATAATACAACGTGACGTCATTTACGACGTCACGTCATTAAAATGGTACCTAGTTCTGTGCACGCTGGTATTTCACTGAAACAACGTAAGGGGCTTAAATTCAAAACAGTGAAATTATCAAAGTGGTAATTTCACTGTTTCAAGCAGTGAAATTACCAGTTTTTATATCACTGATATATTTCTATAAACCACCGAAAAGCATGTAATAAATTGCTTTAATAGGAATAACCCCCTTGTCCAACAACTGCGCCTTATCAAGATTAACAATGTTTCCAAGTTAAGTAACTTTGGTTTTGTTGATACCTTCTATAGTTTTTCAATCATTGTACTTAATAGACAATGTAACAGTTCCATCATTTTGTGAGTTTTCAGGCTGATGGAATAAAAACCAAGAATGTGTCCCTTTTTGCCATTTTTCAGGGGGCACCCCAATAGAAAGCTAGTCAGAGAGGGAATACTATCTCCCTAATTGTAATATCATATTAGCCCAGATATTGTGCTATTTATGTATGAGCAATATCTAGAACAACATATCAGAATCAAGCTTTCGCAGGTCAATATATTTTGATTCCTCTCTGTCACACGGTATAGCAAGTCATCCGAAATCAACAATACTAACCTTTAGCCATTTAAAATGATATAAAAATACATATCTAAAATAACAAAAAACTTACCATATCTGTATATAACAAGCTCCAATTGCCAACCAATTCTCTCTATGTTGTCGTAGAAATTTGGATAATATACATTTATTATAAGTTTTTAGATAATATAAATTGTTTCTATATCTATTATTGTTATAAAATGATACGCTGCAAACGATCACATGATCACGTGATCAGTAGTTACACAAAGTGGGAAAATATGTCAAAAGAAAACAGTATCCGTCCGCATAAAATCTGTATCCTTCCGTGATTTACTGAAAAAGTTCAAGATTCGGCTCATTCCGTCTTTCTTTAAAAATAAGCCACTTCAAAATAAATAGTTGACAAATGCGCTGTAGATCTATCTCTGCTCTGGCACGTGATCCGGAGTGAA